ACCCGAAAGACCGCAAACCCTAAACCCTAAAAGGGACTTCGATCAAGCTTCATGACAGCTTTGAAATCCGGATTATAGATTTAGAATCGGAGTTGGGGATGGAGGATGAAGCTTTATATTAGGGTTTAGGGTCTAGGTTTTAGGGCCTTTTAGGGATTAGGGTTTAGCGTTTAGGGATTAGCGTTTGGGTTTAGGGGATTGTGAGGGTAGACACATCCGCCCTAGTTTACTCCTCGTGCTTGTCTCCGGATCGGAACACTGATCCGTAGAGTTTTGCTGGTGTTTAAGACCTGGGGTTCGATGGCATACTTTTAGAGGCCATGGCCATAACCTGCTTCGTATGGGAGGTCCAAGACGGCCTATGTTCGCTCAGGCCCACAACAAAACCTTGCAAAAAGGTAGGCCATGGCCTTCTTGAGTAGGGGAGCCTCTCCACACTCTTCAAGTCGCGACAGTTTTCACCGAGAAAACCACGTGAATAGCATGAAACAATGGAAAAACCTTCGCAGCAAGACCTGAAACCACCAATGTTGCAGGCTGTCGAACCACGACGCTTGATATGCTAAAACCAGGCTTATCATACTTTCAAGTTAATTAACAAGCTGAGCCCTGGAGCAAACCCGAAGTCCTGAGTTGCGAGAGCCCAAACCCCAAATCCTGAACCTTGACCCCTCTGCATCATCTGGCCTAAACCTAAACCCTAAACCCTTCGACCCTGAAATAAAAACGGAACACAGAACCCCTGAACAGTTAAGGGTTTCGAGCTCGGCTCCAAAAACCCTGTCTAACATCGCAACAAGGATCCACCTGCATTGACAAACCCAAGCCCTTAACCCGAAACCATTAAAGCCTTGAACCCTTCTCTCCTTTGGATGTACTTCAACGCCGAGGCGGTCATAGAGCCAACCCTCTGCCGAGGATGCCGCCATGCTGTCCTTGACCTGAAATTTCATGGGCTTGGTTTAGGGTTGTAAGTAAGGTTCTCTGCAAGCAAGTGGGGGACCAAACAACACAACAAGCACAGTCTTTGCAGTCGCGACAAGATGCATTTCACGCCACGATTAACAAATTTGAAAGAAAAAACAAAGCAAGTCCTACTTCAAGAAAGCCGCACCAACGCGTATGTGTGCAAATCGCTGGCAGGCAAACCGCCCCTGCTGTCGCGAAATTAATTCATCACGTGATTTGTTTGCTAGGTCCACATCCAAGTGTCCGACAAAACGCAGCACCCGGACACAACAGATACATGAGAAAGTGGCAGCAAAACGACAGTTCCACAGCACAGCAGCGGGAATAAGGCCAAGAAAGATAAATTCAACAAAATCCCCTGTCCTGGACGTTCCACCTGATACTCTGGCTGCACGGCTCCTGAACTACTACCGCTGTAACCACTCCACTATTATTACCGTTGCGTTGACTTTCTGCGGTGTACAGGTTTACTGGCTTCTTGAGTTTTGTGTTGTTCCTAATTAGTAGTTTCTTCCACCTTTTATTTGGGGTCATGGCTCAGGTTCCCCAATGGCTATCCTGAGTAAATCCTGCTAGCCCCTACTCCGAAACCATCAACCTCCAAATCTCGAGGTGCTTGGAAGAACGAGGGTCGAGGTCTGACATAGCGGCCTTAATCAATGAGAATAGGGTTTCGGGCCCCAATATACTACAACTATACTAAGGAACTCTGAAATGCTATAAGAAATGATTTAGGTGCCTATCCTAAACCACCATAATGCCCCTCATACTAGCCCTTGTAGACCCCTCTGGGAGCCCTCGGGGTGTTGTATATGGGCCTTATTAAATGGAAGGGGTTTTGAGGGTTCCTTATTACAATTACAGCATAATATACCCCCAAACCCTATTCGAAGTATTAAGGCCCCTACATTATCAAGCTGGAGTTACATGCACCCGACCCTTCGCGCACATTTAGGTTTAGGGTTGAGGGTTCAGAGAGTTTAGGATCTAGGGGTTGGGCTGGTATAGTGATAGAAACGTCCATCAGAGACTTCTAACCATGTTTTTGCAAATCTCTGGCGAGAAGCCAAGGCATAGGAGGCCGAGGAAGGGGAAGTGTAGGAACCTCGGAAACGAGGTTCCTGCGGCTTTGTTAAGGGATCCTAGAATGGTTCCTTGAAAGGGGCTAGAACTTGTTCTTAGGGCGTTTAAGGGTTTAGGGTTTTAGGATTTAGTGTGACTAGGGTTTTGGGGGCTCCTCATTACAAGGCTATATACCCCGGAACCCTGTTCTAAATATCAGACCCCTAAATTAGGGTTTTACGCTCTCGCAACTCGGACAAGCCAGGCGAGGTCTCAGAGGCGCGAGTCAGCGTGAAACTGGAATGAGTGTCTATGTTCGCTTAATGTTTATATTCTCGGCAGAACCAAACAAGAACATCTATCCAGTAAGAGCCCAAGCATTAGGAACAGGGGCCACAAATGGGAGCGATCTGATATCGATGGTTCCTAAGGTGGTGCATTCTTCGAAGGGTGCACATGTTGGGCGAAGGCTCAGGCCACGATGACATAGGGTACCAGAGAGTCTGAGCATCCCCCTCCCTACGTGGTCGAGCTAATTTCGCAGTCGTATTTTATTTCTATTGAAAATCTCGGAGTCGACGGGAAGTTCTTACCGCGCCACAAGACTTCGGTGGTGAGTTTCAATGATTCAAGTCGATTTCAACGACAAGCTCTTCCCAGGCCCTCTGGTCGTCTTCTTCAGTGAGGGCGGCAACAATGCCTAAAATCTTGTCGAACGAAAACTCGTATGCAAGCCCAGCGATACACTTCAAAAGGTTGTTAAGCTTGCGGTGTGTGCCATTCTCGGTGGCAGTCCACTTTCACGAAAGTGCATCTACCCCGACGCTCAGATCACCGACGAGAACCTGCTTCGTCGTGTGAAAGCTGGCGTGAATGAGTGTGGCTTCTGGGTCTTTCCGGATGACGGGTTCGATGCCGGCGGCTGTCGCAGCAACGCTGTCACCGCAGCCCCCTAAACAGGCAGGCTCTCTAGGGCTCAGGCCCTAAACCCCTGAATCCCCAAACTATCAAGGGTTCGGGGTGAAGGGTCTAGGGCTTACAAATTATAGGGCAGAAGGCTTTCAGAGTTAGCCGTAGGGTTTGGGTGTTGAGTGCCTTAGTCCCAGGGTTTTGCTTGCGATCTCGTGGAGACTTCAACTTTAGAGCCCAAGGGCTCCATGCACCTCAATAGTAGATACTTAAGCCTTAAAGGGGTCCCTATAAGGCTTCCTTTAAAGGATGCTTTCAAGGGTGCTATACGGTTTAGGCTAAAAGGGTGCATGGTACCTCAATCGTAGATACTTAGCCCTTAAAGGGGTCATTACATAGGTACTGTAAGGCCTAAGCATATACTATGTGGGTACATGAAGGCTTAAGTGTGTATGGAGTTATACAAAAAGTGGGGCTGTCCCAGAGACTCCAATACCCCTTAACTAAGGAATATTCCTTAAATCATTTTCACGGATCCTACTATAATTTAAGGAATATTCCTTAATTAAAGGATATTGGAGTCTCTGCTGTCTGCATCTTACTGCAAGGCTCGGTCTTCTCAGGGGGGTCGGCTCTAGGATTTGGTTTGGACCCTATGCTCTCAAACCTGAAAACCCCTGAACCCTGCAACCCCGTATAGAAATACGCATACCCCAATAAGCCACAGAAATAAAAGGTTAAACTTTCCGATTCCTACGAAACTATAAGAGCCCAAAAAGTTTAAAGGTTAGGTGTTCGGGATCTAAGAAACCATTAAAGGAACCCGTGCCAGAGGAACAAAGGTACCTTAAGCTCCAAGAAGACTCAAATCGGGAGACACATTTCAGATCTAAACAGCTCAAAGGGCTTTTGGGGGTTCCATTGGTTTAGGTTTAGAGCTTGAGTAGCCTGTGGCCTGCGACCACTACACCGACCCTTCAATCCCAGTTCTATCCCAAACCTGGGGCACTGGCACTGGGACAAGCCAGGCAAGGGGTTACCCTAAACCCGTTTTAGGGGTTTGGGTTTCTAAGCTCTCGCCTTTTGGGTGATCATGGGCTTTATCCTCTAAGGCTTTCGGCTGTAGGGTGAGGACTTTTGGTGTTTATGATTTATGATCTACCTAAACCCTGAATAACCTACCTTTTTCGGGTTCCTTATTATGGTTTCCTTTTATAAGTCCTTAAAATTAAAATGGTAGGTCCTGCAGGGTTAAGGTAGAGTTTAGAATCTGGGATGGTGGCATGCGAACGATCTGGATGCCAGGGCTGCATGCTTCGGATGCTCAGGCCTTTCCTAGGATCCCCAGTAACCTAGGAATAAAAAGGCCTCTCTTTTTGGTATTGGGTAACTTTATAAGGAATCTAGGACTACAAAAAGGGAATGAGGGTACTACTGGGCATATTAGTTTCTGAATTCTGACGGGAACACATGGCCGTGCAAGGAGGCAAGCTTTAAAGCATCTAATAGTGTATAGAGCAATATGAAAGCTGACAGCTAGCAACATAAGGACAGCTAGCCCGATGAGGGGTTTAAGGTTTGGGAGCTCGAAGCAAATGTCGCAAGCATGCCTTGTTGCATTGCCAGGTACGGGCACTTTCTGCATAATTCTCGACGCTGGCCCCGCTGTTCAGCTCCAACCGACTCGCCTGCAGTTTAGGGTTTACGGTTTAGGGTTGCGCCCTAAGGGTCCACCCACCCAAATAGTATATACTTTGGCCTTAAAGCAATCCTTTTTGCGCAGACTTGAATATGCCGTTAAAGTAATCCTAAACCCTAAACCTAAATCCTAAACCTAGTCCCTATATAGGTACTTTGGTGCCGAAGTATATGATGTTTGGGTACATGGACCCTTCGGAACAGCTGAAGGCGGCCCGTCCCCTTTGACAAGGGTTCGTTTTTAAACAGGCTCTAGACAGTTATACTTCGTATCGGGGCCACCCCCACACACACACACACATCCATCTATATATATATACACACACATACACACAAATACGTGTACACATATGCTGTACATAAACTAGTATACCAGAATAAACATAAACCAACACATATGTATGTTTATGTATATACGTACATCTATATATATATACACATTTGTGAATATATGAACATATGTATATATTATATATGTGACACACGTGTATGCATGTACAAGTGTTCTATCCAGAATCGTCTGGAAGAACTCGATATCAGAGGTCTATAGTGAGGCAGAAATCATGACCTTGAGGACCCTAAACTATGATAATTATGGTATACTTTTTATCATGGGTTAGGGTTTAGGGTTTAGCAGGATTTATGCCATCAGCCGTAGCAAAGCGATTTTTCCGACAGTAAATAAGTGGCATTGCTGCAGCGATTCTCTGAAAAACACACACACACAGACACACACACACACACACAGACACACACACACACACACACACACACAGACACACACACACACACACACACACACACACACACACACACGCACACACAGAGAGTCCCCTACACGGTAGACCCCTAGGCCCTAAACCCCCCAACCTTAAGCCCGTCAGTTCAGCAAGCAGCAGCCCTGAGAAAGAGTTTGCAGAAAAATAAGTATGCCAATTTTCACATCTCGCACTAGCAAGTCAAGACCGCACAATTACGCGATACAGCCTTCGTCATACAGCCGGCTATCGGATCCGCAGTTAAGCGTGCAAAAAACCTTCCCTGAACCCTGAGGCTCTGAACCCCTAAACCCCTATGTAAAACCCTACACCCTAAACCTCTGAACCCAAAACGCTCAAACCCTAAAGGCTAAACCGGAGCTTGAGCGGCTCTTCGACGCCCCTTGGCTGGAAGTGGTATAGCTTTCACTGGATCCTGGCGTTTTCGAAACTCAAAGGTCTTCGCTTTCCAAGTGTATGGAGTTCTTGTAGGGTTTTTATATAGGGTTTAGGGTTTGGGGCTATGGGTTTGAGGTTTAGGGTGAGGGTCTTATAGGGTTTAGGGTTTAGGACTTCAGGACTCGGGCAGCATGAGGTTCAGAGCTTAGTTAGTTAGTTTTGAAACAATACGAGGGGCTTATAGGGTTGAGGGCTTACCTACTAGTATTAAAATTACTTTGAATCAGTATGAGGGTCTTACAGGGTTGAGGGCTTAGGCCCAATTGAAGTTCTCAAGCCTGTTTCAGCGGACTTCTGTAAGTCGACTTTGCCCCTACGCCCTGCGCTACTTCGAAACCATGCGAAAGTCTGCGACGTGACATGCTGAAGACCATGCCCAATACGAGCCATCAACATGCACATCGTTTCAAGGTCATACCGGAGCCTTACGAATTGAGAATAGGTTTGGGGAATTCGGGGGGTTCGCTATCCTATATTCATGTATGGTCAGTCCCCTATGATTACTTAGAGGTTCATGGGACTTAGTACCTAGGGTTATAAGCAATGTAACTGTATACTTATAATTGCTTATAACCCCAGTTCAGGTACATACAACTGTACTTAGTAAGTCCCATGAACCTCCAAGTATGGCCCGAGGACGAGGGCTTCACGAGATTGCGGAGGCCTACGCTCACCAAGCCCTGAGCCTCAGCAGCTGAAAACCCTCAACACTGCTGATGGACAAAATCCTGCATGACCCTAAGGACTCTAAACTATGGGAACTATGGTATATTCCTCATAATGAGTAATGCAGAATTTTGTCCATCAGCAGTATGGGGGTCTCTCTCTCTCTCTCTCTATCTCTCTCTCTCTCTCTCTCTCTCTCTCTCTCTCTCTCTCTCTCTCTCTCTCTCTCTCTCTCTCTCTCTCTCTCTCTCTCCCAGGCATTCGAGACATCTCACTAAAACTATAGTTAGAGGTTTGACGGGAAGCCCGACGGAATGGTATTGCCAATAGCTGAACTATAGTTAGAGGTTTAACGAGAAGTCCGAAGGAATGGTATTTCTAATAGCTAGACGTATAGCAGACTGCCCACATAGCTAGACGTATAACAGACTGTCCATGAGCAAACCGAGGGAACACACTTGTACTAACTATTACTAACTACTCCGAATTCTATACTGTTGATGATATAAATCCTGCATTACCCACAACAAGGGATATACCATAATTTCCATAGTTCAGAGGCCTTAAGGTAATGCAGGATTTATATCATCAACCGTAGTAACCAGTCAACCCCTCAACTCCGGCTGTGTGGCGCCCCGTTGCAAGGCTGTCCTGACGCGGGGGGTCGACGTTGAGGTCAACTGTCGCATCCAAGTCCCTGGGGCTTCAAGCGTAGAACCGACAATTGCACGTAGTACTGTTTCTCGGTTACCCCAGGTTCTAGCCGTAGGATCCTCATCCTAAGCCGTGAACAACGTGGAGCTCCTCACAACAGCAATGAACCGTTACAAAGTCCCATCAGGTGTGAACTGATTCTTCTGCTGCTTATTCATCTCCACATTATCATGAGATTCCTTGTAGATGCGCATAAGCTTGGCGACGCAGTCCTCCTCGAACTTCACCTTGCCCTCCTCCACGGCTCATACTTCGCCTGATATTCCACCTCCTTGGCCCCACTCACCAGCCTCTGCCTCCGCCACTGTCTGCCGGGTCTCCAGCCGTTCTCTTTCTGCTTTGTCTGACCTCCATCGGCTCATCTCTCGGATCGAGGGCTCTGCCCACGATGGGAGCCCGACTTCCTTTTGTTGGCCCTGTTTGTGCTTTGCAGACGCACTGGGCAGCTCGAAGCCCTCTGGCACCATCCCGGTCCTCCTAAGGCCATGACGACCCACCACCCCCACCGTCTCGCCATGACGCATAAAATGGGCAATCCGAAAGTTGTAAGACGTTCTAGTGTCGTACAGGAAGCCCATGGGACTTGTTAACTTAAGGCTTTAATGTCTGAAGTTGTCTGAAGTAGTTAATTTTGGTATACCCATAAACCTGTAAGTAGGCACTAAGCCCAGACCCTCCAAAGAACCTTAAGGGGTACCTTGACAAGGAACCCTATATAGTAACCTGGTTACTAAGACCTGGTGTTTTATGACCGACGGTGTTTTACATACTGTAAGTAGAACCGACTCTCCAGGTGTCACGGTTCAGCAGATGTTCAGCAGTAGACGCAAAAACAATCAAGCGGGTTTAGCGCTTGGGCTTCGTGATTTCAGGGCCAGACTGAACTCAAGGCAGTATCTTAAAATCAAGGATCTGACATCAAGCCTGAACTGTAAGATGCCCTCAAGACTGTAAACCATAAAGTGTCACAGGCTTTGGGATCGGAGGAGTGCCCGAAAGTAGGGGCCCTTTCTTAAGAAGTACAGTTGCCGGATCATTTGCTTGGAGCTTGGAGCTTTCATTCTGAAAGGCTGCTGCAAGGAAACAATGATATAACGAACCGCAATCCCGGAGAGTTCATTTCTGATACCAGTATGGCATTACGACCCAAAAGACCGAATAAATGATCCCGGTTCAGCCGTCCCCCCTCCCCCCCCTCAATGGTTCCTCCCCCCCTGTGGTGTGGTGTGGTGGTGGGTTGCTTCCCCCCTCCCTGTGGCGTGGTGCTGGTGCGGTCTGGGGGTGGGTCTGGTTGGGGTGGTTCCCCCTTCCCCCCTGTAGAATGGTGTGCCCGTGCGAATTTGGATCCGCTTTGGGTGTTTGGTATACTCAGTATACTCATCCTTATGATGATGATGATGATCACCATCATCATTAACTTAAGCATCTTAATCTTTGATTGGTTGGTCGTCGGGTGTCTTCTGCCCACGTGCATGGTATTGACTATCGTTTTTTGATCGTAGGGCCACTATCTTCGTGACAGTTGTCGCTTTGAGGGCAATTGCCAAAAGGTTGCAATCGGCGGGCCTGTCGGGGAACGCAGTCCTCGTGACAGTTGCCTTGTTTATTCTTTGGGAAGTGCCCACAGTCACATGCAAGGATCGGGCGTGTTTGGGACGCGATCCTGGTGACAGTTGGCGGCTTTGGCGGCCTCGCAGCTCGGATCGGGCGTCTTTGGGACGCGATCCTCGCTCGTTTTGGGGCCCGCATGTGCAAAAAAGTGTGCGCAGTCACACAGATTCGGGGGGAGTGGGTTGGGGGGGGTCGGCGAATCGACAACCGGGATCAAAAACCACACCATAGAAGGGGGCGAGGAACCTTGGGGGGACGATGCGGGCCTCTTGGAAAGCACGAATGCCGAAACAACAAATGCAACGCAGCTCCCCGAGAACGAATGCTGAAATGCTGGGGCCAGCGGCCACTCCACCATGGGTTCGTCGTCATCCTGCGCATCGGGTGCGATGATTGATATCAGATTCTATAATTTCGCGGTTTGGGGATGTCGTCATTGCTCTTGGGGTTTCTTGACCCTTCTTCGCGACCCGTCCCTAAACCCCCGGCCCTGCAATCCTAAAAACCACCAAAAGGCTAGCCATGATTCCTAGTCCCTTCAATAGGGGGCGGAATAGCCAGTAATGGTATCCCCTGAAACTCCTTTGTATAAGCGTAGGAAATGCGCAGAAGAGGCTGTTCTCACCATAACCCTTCTTCTTACCCATTGTAGCCCTAAACCCTAAACCCTCTCTATGAAGGCCCCTAAATACCCTAAATCGTAGACCCTAAATTCACATGAACCCTGCCCTACTTAGGACAAATTTGTAAATGGGTGAAAAGCAACAGATCCAACCCCTAAACCCAAATCTAGCGTGCAAGCCGTGAAATAGCCCCGCAATAGTAACGAACAGGAGCTTGCCTTCTTTTGTGCCACACGTTTATTTCACATGTACGAACAGAAAACTGGAGCCGAATACTAGACACTTAACCCCAGCCGTAGAAATGAACTAGCAAAGAACAACAAGCCAAGCGCCAGATTTGCACATGCCTGCATGAAAAACGCAGCTCCAATGTGCGAATTCCCTAAAAAGCCTTATAAACCCTAAACAACAATCCGGAAGCAAGGGCCATAGCCGTGTCGTTATGAAATCTAAACGTACGGGTTTTTTGTGCGACGAAACTGTGACTGGAGATGTGCGAACTGCACTACATTGGCAGGATTAAAGTTTCGCCACACTTGCCTATGGGATATGCTAAACTCTAAACCCTGTAAAAGGTTTGTTTTCCATGTCTAAACTAACTTGCGCCTACCCGAAAGTTTGTTCTTCTGTGTTTAAACCAAACCCTAAACCCTATAAAAGGTTTGTTTTCCATGTCTAAACTAGCTTGCGCCTACCCGGACTCCGAAAGTTTGTTCTTCTGTGTTTAAACTAAACCCTAAACCCTATAAAAGGTTTGTTTTCCATGTCTAAACTAACTTGCGCCTACCCGAAAGTTTGTTCTTCTGTGTTTAAACTAAACCCTAAACCCGAGAAAAGGTTTGTTTTCCATGTCTAAAGTAACTTGCGCCTACCCGGACTCCGAAAGTTTGTTCTTCTGTGTTTAAACTAAACCCTGAACCCTAGAAAAGGTTTGTTTTCCATGTCTAAACTAACTTGCGCCTACCCAAAAGTTTGTTCTTCTGTGTTTAAACCAAACCCTAAACCCTATAAAAGGTTTGCTTTCCATGTCTGAACTAACTTGCGCCTACCCGGACTCCGAAAGTTTGTTCTTCTGTGTTTAAACTAAACCCTAAACCCGAGAAAAGGTTTGTTTTCCATGTCTAAAGTAACTTGCGCCTACCCGAAGGTTTGTTCTTCTGTGTTTAAACTAAACCCTAAACCCTATAAAAGGTTTGTTTTCCATGTCTAAACTAACTTGCGCCTACCCGAAAGTTTGTTCTTCTGTGTTTAAACTAAGCCCTAAACCCTAGAAAAGGCTTGTTTTCCATGTCTAAACTAACTTGCGCCTACCCGAAAGTTTGTTCTTCTGTGTTTAAACTAAACCCTAAACCCTGGAAAAGGTTTGTTTTCCATGTCTAAACTAACTTGCGCCTACCCGGACTCCGAAAGTTTGTTCTTCTGTGTTTAAACTAAACCCTAAACCCTAGAAAAGGTTTGTTTTCCATGTCTAAACTAACTTGCGCCTACTCGGACTCCGAAAGTTTGTTCTTCTGTGTTTAAACTAAACCCTAAGCCCTATAAAAGGTTTGTTTCTCATGTCTAAACTAACTTGCGTCTGCCCGAAAGTTTGTTCTTCTGTGTTTAAACTAAGCCCTAAAACCTGTAAAAGGTTTGTTTTCCATGTCTAAACTAACTTGCGCCTACCCGAAAGTTTGTTCTTCTGTGTTTAAACTAAACCCTAAACCCTGTAAAAGGTTTGTTTTCCATGTCTAAACTAACTTGCGCCTACTCGGACTCCGAAAGTTTGTTCTTCTGTGTTTAAACTAAACCCTAAACCCTATAAAAGGTTTGTTTCTCATGTCTAAACTAACTTGCGTCTGCCCTATTTGGAGGATTTAACCCACCCGAACAAACTTAGACTGCTTAAACGTTCCGGACGGAGGACTTTGGTGGAGAGTCGAAGGGGGAGAGGAGTCTTGCAAGCTGTTCAAGACCAACATACGAGAGTATGAAGAACTTTCCTCCTACCGCAGTGTCGCAAACCCCGGGAAGACAAACAACATAGCTTAAAACCACAATGTACTGTGCCTGTTTGCAAGCAATCTGCACCTGTAAATCAGTTAGTTAATGACAATACATCACGGCCCTAGGCCCTAAACCCTAAGCCAACAAACAGCAGTCGTTAAGCAGTCTTTGAGCAATCCCACTTGGATGTCTTGTAGCATGTATAGGACATGCACGGCATTCGTTAAGCACATCGAAAATTGCACAAGACACATTTCTCGAACAACTCACTGACTTCACGAACAAAGGAAAAACGACAGGAAACGGTCGCAATCACGAAACAAGTGATCGGTAAAAGGGGAACGTGCACATAAGCTACATCAGTACAAGAATTACAAGACAGAGGACGGGCCGGAAAGGAAATTCCTTTCGGCGAGACTGCCCTGCGCTCCACGCTGCACTGGCACAGAACGGAGGCAGTGGGACAAGCGCAAGTAGTGTGACAGCACCGAAAATTAAAAATAAGCCCACAGGAAAGTTGACTGCTGAAGCCTTTGCCCCTTTTAGAGAAGGCCGAAGGCCTAGACCCTAAACCCAAACGAACCCTAAACCGTATACACCCTAAATCCCGAAGCTCTTAGCGCAGCAATCCTCGGACCAGACTCTCGTCCAGTTCTGCTGCTCCTTGTGGGAGTTGAGAACCTTTCGTGACACGGCCGGGTGAATGGTTCAGGGCTACTTCCCAAAGGGTCCTATGTACTGTTATGGGGTACTTCCCTAAGTCATAACAGTCATTCCCAATATGGAAACCCTACATTCTACTATATCGGTATAATGTTGATGATATAAATCCTGCATTACCTTAAGGACCCTAAACTATGGGAATTATGGCATATTCCTCATTATGGGTCATGCAGGATTTATATCATCAACCGTAGGGCCCTTTGGGCTTGGAGTCTCGGAGAGGTATCATACAGGTTCTATGCGGTGTCAATAAGGGTTCAGTAGTTCGCTATAGCCCAGAACCCCCGGGAGGATCCGAAAAGTAGATCCCTTAATTGGGGGTTCCTATAAAGTACCCTTAGTAGTATAGGGCCCCAAATTAGGGGATTTACTTTCTAGATCCTCCCGGGGGTCTGGGTAGAGTGTTATAGGCTGCTCTCGAAATGGAAAAGACTTTGGGAACTCATGGTCAGCTCGTATTAGCTCTACTTACGGGTTCATTGGACTTACTAAGTATACTTATAAGCACCCTAATTGGGATTATGAGTACATACAAGTGTAGTTACCTTGTTTAGAACCCTAGCTACAAAGTACCATGAACCTATAAGTATAGTTGTTTTGGCATATAAGTAAAGCTGGCCGGGGATACCTCTCATTCAGACCTACGAGTAAACACTGTGCCTGTGCCAGAAAGTTGCTGAATCTAAAGCTTGGGAAAAATTAAGAGAAGCCCAAATCCCTGAATTAAGGAATCTTCCTTAAATTACAATAGAGATCCTTGATAGGGAACCCTTAACTGGGGAATGGTGACGCCTCTGCGTACCTCTTCGAATCCTGCTTTCCCAAGGACCTTAAGGCCGTGGATTCTGAAGCCCGAAAAACCTCTAAATCCTAGATGCCGAGCTTTGCTGAGCTGCAAGAGCTACACCTTGAATCTGGGCTTGGGGCTTCGGGATCGGGTTGCTACATCTGCGGCTGAAACTGGCGAGAGGCATTAGATAGCAATAGTAGGGTTCAGCAGTTCAGGCTTGTCCTGAGCGGGTGACCCGATAGCCGATAGCCAAAACGATCAACAGATAACTACACACAACCCCTGACCTGAATCTAGAACATAATGAATATATATATATATATACATATATATATATATATATATATGCATTATTATATATATATATATATACATACATACAGTTCTATTTAAACAACTGTGTGGTACTATCAGCCGAAACCCTGAACACTAAAGCCTGAAACGCCACTTTTGTTTTCTGGTGCCGCTTAAATCCTTTTTTTTCAGCATGGGCTTGGATTGTGTGCCGCTTGAACGCTAAACGCCAAATCCTAAACCCCAAACACTCAACCCCAAACCCTAAACCCCAAACCCTGAACCCCAAACCCTAAACCCCAAACCCCTAAACCCCAAATCCCAAACACTAAATCCCAAACACTCAACCCCAAACCCCAAACCCCCAAACCCCTACACCCCAAACACTAAACCCGCCTGCTTCCCCTGGGGCCCCGACGTGGCCAACCATCATCGGGGCCGAGGCCGATGAGTCGTACAACTCATCGACTTCTTTGGACCTTTGAAGATTGAGGGTTCCATAAGGGTTCCTTTAAGGGAATCTATAAGGGCTCCTGTTGAAGGGATCCATAAGGGCTGCTTTAAGGGTTTGTTTAGGGTTCCTATAAGGGATCTAAGGAATCTAACGGGTTTAGGGGGGGTTTAGGGTTTAGGGCTTTTGCTACTACTACTACTATTACAATGGTTTCGGGTTAAGCTTTTTGGTCTAGATTGCTGTTTCTGCTGAAACTGTTACTATGATTTAGGGTCTAGGGTCTAGCGTTGCGGGCTTAGAGTGTAGAGTTGATGGTCTACCATTTAGGGTTTAGGGTGGAGAGTTTAGGGTTTAGGTCCTATCACTACCATTCCTGTTGCTAGTAGTAGATCCGAGGCTCCTCTGGGTGTTCGTAGGGTACTTTTGGAGTGAACAGCTCTTGCAGCACCATCTCCGGAGAGCGGACTTGGGGGCAAGAGGGATTCTCGATGCCGCCAGGGGTAGGGGGTGTAGGGTGTAGCGGCGCGGGTTAGGGGTTTGGGGTTTAAGGCTTTGGGCCTAGGGTTTTGAGCGTTTTCGGCGTAGGGTTTAGGGTCTGACGTTTTGCGCATCGCACGGCTGTATCAGTACGCTGTCATGTAAGTCTTCAGCTTTCAGGGCTTCGGCTTTCAGCGCTTCCGCCAACTTCTCATTCAAATGTCGAGGGGGGGTTTAGGGATTAGGGTTTAGGGTTGTGGGGCATGGTGTGCGGTAAGCAAATTTTTGCAGGGTCCTAGCATTCGACGAACCGACACACAAATACGTTTGCGCTCCTGGCCTATTAACCCAAGGACTTCAGGCTTGATCAGTCAGCCCGAGGAATCGAAGCAGATATGCCTGCAGAACCCCACCTATGAGCAAATGGCAAAACCTCCGCGCAAATACAAATCCCATAGAAACATTCTTCTTGTTCTGTAACGCCCCGACCACAACACACCCAGCACAAATCCTAAAGCCATGAAGCCCGCAAACCTGTCAAACTATACCCTGATCCTCAAACTGGGGATCCAAAAACCTACCCTTTTAAGGGTCAGACCCTCTAACTAAGGGGTCATAACCTACTGTTTAGTGGGGTTTGGAGTCACAGGAAATGCTTAAAAACCCTACAGGGTTTACCTTAAAACCCTACAGGGCCTACCACCCCACGGTACCCTTGCAGAATCCCTAGGGGCTGGCAGCCTCCACCCTCCTTCAGGTCGGGTGTGGCTGCCTTATGTCGCAATAGACCTCTGATTGAGGAGGTTTGGGGTCTAGAGTTTAGAGGGATCTATAAGGGTTCCTATAAGGGCTCTATCTCGGTGTTCTTTGATACCAGGCCGCTGTCTATGTAGCCATTCTCTTGTAGCCATTTTCTAAAATAACCCTATAAACCCTAAACCCTAAAAGCAGAAGACGTGTGGCAGGCAGACACTCCAGGCACGGCCTCGTGCTGGCTGTCGGAGTCCGACACACCGAAGAGTTTGGAGGAGGAAGTCACCATGTGGATACCACCAGGCCGCGTATAGGGTTTAGGGTTAGGGTTTAGAGTTTAGGGTTAAGTTCCCATGAAATTCCTTCTGCGAGAGCAGGGCAAGCAATGCAAGTTCACCAGAACATCACTTCTTCAGCGCATCTCCCGGCTTGCAAGGCACTCAAATCTGTGAAGAAACCCTTAAAGGAACCCTTAAACCGTAGGCCCTAAACCCTACCTAGAGGGTCATACCCTACCCTTCTTCGGCTACCTAGTTGCATGGTTTAGAAAAATAAGTACCCTAAAACGGGACAGGGTATGACCCTATCGTTTGAGCTTGTAAAGAAAGCCTCAAATCCTAAACCCTAAACCCCTAATCCCTATGCCCTACGCCCTTTAATCCGAAACCCCTGAGCCCCTAAACTTTTAAACAAAAGCCTTCAAGGAACCTATTAATCCGAAACCCCTAAGCCCCTAAACCCTTAAGCCTACTACTAAACCCTACAGAGCCAAGACTCTGAGCAGGGTCGGGCTCCTCGGTGCGCACCTGCAGACTTTTTGTTTCGGGGGAAGGTGAGGGTTTAGGGTTTAGTTGAGGGTTTTTAGGGTTTTTCCCTCCTACTTGGCAAGGACGAAGCCCGCATTGCAGGGTACTTGGTTTGGACATCGGTAGGCTTGATCATCGAAGCCAGAAATCAGTAGGGTTTAGGGTTTTGGGTTTAGGGTTTTGCGTTTAGGGATGGGATCTTGTGGGACTTTTGCGGCGATTTCTATACGCGTTGTTGTGGAGTCTGGGATTTCAAGGAGTTGTATGAGCATGTACAGGTCCCTAAGCCCTGAACCCTAGGTGTTCAAGGGGTTCTATGGACGCTAGGGAAGGACCGGAGCTTATAACAATGTCATGTTTAGTATAGGGGCCTCAATAATTACCTATACTAGTTTGGGGGCCGGGGGTTCCTCGTTGTAATTACGGCATAATGGGCCCCAAAACCCTATTCTGATTGTTAAGGCACCTGTATTACACAATTCGGGCTGCCAGGATCTAAGGAAGAGGGTGTGTCGTAGTGGTTCCAGCAGACGGCATATTGTCTAAACACTTTGGCACCACTTTCAAGGTTGGGTGTAAATGTCTAAGGCTTTAGAGGTACAGCAAAGCTATAACTTACGTAAATGCCTAGGGCCACTAGCCTTACTGGTGTTGTAGAGGCATGAATACTACGCTTCACGGCCACTTCCCCTGAAATGGGTCTGTAGATCTTCCAAACTCAGAATCATTACTGCCACCTGCTGCGTCTCTGTGGCGGTTTCCTGTGACTCCAAACCCTACAAAATAGTAGGTTATGACCCCTTAGTTAGAGGGTAGAACCGGTAAACCGCCAGGTTTTTGGATCCCCAGGTTCGCCATGTTATCGTTGAGTCCGCTGCTTATGAACTCGTGCGATCGCCTAAGCCTGGAACCCGATGGGTTCAGGCTTTACTGCTTTCGCTCTGTGAAGTTTTAGGGTTTAGGGTATAGGGTTTATAGGGTCTAATTAGGGATTTATGGCTCATGAAAGGGCCGACGGGGCTCACAGGTCACTGAACCCTTCAGTCGTTTGGGCTCACGATGCGTCTAGGGAGCTTGGTTCAACCCTGCAAACCCAAAGCTTAGAACCAGAACGCCCTGACATCTCTCATCTCGACGCTGACAGCCCGACACCTGAACCCAAAACCTGCAAACCCTAAACCTTGAAACCCTGAGCCCTCAATCCCTACATTCGCGCCAATGGATGCGAAGCCTTAAAGATCCGAACCCCTGTAGGCCGGTTGATTCTTTAGCCGAGCAATTCTACACCAGGCTCTGTTTTTGAAACGGCCGCTTCTCGTCAGGAACTATGGATGCCACAAACTGTGAACATCTCTGGCCTCATAGCATCCTCATAGCCTTCAGAGGAACTATGAAAATTATGGAAGCCAAGCACTACTCATTTCCGACCGGAGGTCAGCGACCTCACCTGCAGCTGCCCGAGTTGCTTCCGTCGGCTACAGGTAAAGCTTCACATTGGGGCTTGGGGCTTGGAGTTTAGAGTCTTGGGTTCGGGGCCTTACTGCACGAAAAAAAGGCTGTAAGGAGCGATGCTTAATAGTTGGGCTACAGAATGTTAGCACATACGCGTTTATCTTGCAGCAGGCCTCTTCCGAACTGCAGGCACCTTTGCCCTGCCTCCGGCCGTGGCTTTGGCCTTTGATTTGGCCTTCGCCTTGGGCCTCGCCTTGGCCTTCGGCTTGGGCTTTGCCCTCTTCGCTTGCGCCGAGGCCTTCGCCTTCGCCGCACGCTTGGCAGCCGTGGCTTCGGCCAATGCCTGGGAAAGGATCTGGTCATCCTCCTGAAATCGGCCCAGCTGCTCTTTTACTCCCGTACTGTTACCGCCGGAAGCTGGGCATCCCCAAGTCACGACAGATCCATCAGCCCTGATAGCAGCAAAGGCTGAATCGTTGGCTTGGATGCACGTGACCTTTGTCAGCTGCCCTTGCACCGCACCTATGCAGCCACCACGTCCCCGCGCGCCCCAAGCAACCACCGATCCATCCTCTCGTAGAGCAGCGAAGGCCCGCGAGCTGGCTTGGATGGCTTTGACATTCTGCAGCTGGCTCTGCACGGCGCTTGCGTCTGCTGCCGGTTCGTTTCCCCAGGTGACCACTGACCCGTCGGAGCGTAGTGCAGCGAATGCCGAAGATGAGGCCTGAATCTGCACAACGTTCACCAGTTGATGCTGGACGAGCTTGCTGTCACGGCCAACGATCCAGCCCCATGTCACCACAGATCCATCCTTGCAAAGAGCAGCGTAAGCCAAATGCCCGGTGCTAGTCCGACAAACCTGTATACACGAAACCTTTCCCATGCTCCGCAGCTCAGCAGCCTCGAGAGACCGAAATTTGACCCCAACTCCATCGGGGCCCCAGACCGCAAGCCGCCCATCCTTGTTCACGGCCGCCCAGGATTTTTCACAACCGTGAAACTGATCCACCTCTTGCAGCATGGTGTTGTATCTCTCCGGCTCCAGCTCATCAAAACTCTCCCAAAAACCCCAAGGCACCACGCAGCCACGTGCAGTAATCGCAATGAAGCCATGTCCACAGCCCTTGATGTGCAGAACGTCGTTGAGTTTGCTTTGCACATGATCACTCACACCGCCCATGTCCTCGTCCCCCCATGTCACCACAGTTCCGTCGGTGCGAAGGGCGGCAAAAGCGCAGTCTGCTCCCTGGGCTTGGGGTTTAAGGTCCGGGGGTTCGCGCTTTCGAGCTTCAATAATTAGAATCGGGTTGTTGGGTTTGGTATACTTGTATAAGACTGCGGGGGGATACTGACACAGATTATTATGCCTATCGCCATATTGATATTAGCTGGAGACTTGAAGCTGCTAAAGTGCTACAGGATCAGAGCTTGTTGGGCCGTGTTGCCTGGATGAGCCGCACATTGTAAAGTTGATCACGCACCGCAAAGCTGTCTCCACCACAATCCTTATCACCCCATGTAATCACAGACCCATCTTCCTTGATGGCCGCAAAGGCATATCTTGTTGCTTGGATCTGTCGCACGTCCCGAAGCTGGTTCTGAACGGACTGGAGCGTCACCATGGAGTCGGGGACAGGGCATTGAAGCAAACTGCCCCAGGAAACTACCACTCCGTCGTCTCGGAGGGCAGCAAAAGCTGCATCGGCAGCCTGAATCTGCTGCACATCGTGCCTAGTTCATGGTTGGGATAGGATTAAAAACTTAAATTGTTGTTCCTTATTGGGTTTAAGTACCTATAAAAATGTAAAATGCTACCCAACTATGACAAAGATGCAACTTGTGCTGCACTGTGCTACTATCGCCACCACCGTCAGGACAACCCCATGTCACAACAGAGCCGTCTGCCCGGATGAGAGCAAACCCTCGACGAGATGCCGCCACCGCCACAGCCCGGGTAATGGCCGTGATGGTGTCACCATTCTGCACTCCGGATTGCGTCAGTGTAGCAGATCCGCCCAACAACGTGCCGGAGGCAGTGGCAAATTTTCCCAAAGGTGTTTGCAAAGCCCTCTGTGCCTTCTGCCGCAAGTCTGCCACGGTTGCATCTCCAGGTAGAGTAACCGTTGCTTGGGTTCCACTGGGCCGGGTCACAGTGACAGAAATGGACATGGCAGGCACGGACGTGACAATTGTCACGACACAACGGCGCAAATGTCACAATCCTCTGTACCTCAGAACAATGAAAGAGATATATATGTATATATATATATACATATTATATTATATCATATAATATAATATAATACCATACTATGTTTTATTATATTACATAAATATATATATATATATATATGTATATGCATATATGCACATATATATATATACACATATCATATAGCTGCCTTAATAATTGCACTAGGGTTTTGGGGCCCACTATACTATAGTTATAATAAGGAACCCCCAAAATAGTATTGGTAATTATTCAGGCCCATACAGTAAGCCCACCACATGCTTGAAGTTTGTCTCCAAGCAAGAGCTTCAGCAACTTTTTCTGCAAGCATGCACAGCCCAAGCCCTGAACCACAGGCGCCTCAAAAACTATTGCTCTTGCTGCTGTGGCTGCTGCTGTTGCTATTAATGCTAATTTTGCTGCTACTGATACTGCTACTGCTACTGCTACTGCTACTGCTACTACTACTGCTACTACTACTACTACTACTACTACTACTGCTACTACCAGTACTACCACTACTACTACTGCTACTACTACTACTACTACGACGACGACGACGGTGCGGCGGTAGCAACGACGAAGAAAGGAAGCATGCCGGCTAACACAAATCCACCGTAGTCATCCTCTCATGAGAAATCTTGCGATGAAACTCCTTGAGTTGAAGGCTCATAGAACATAACACAAGCTTGAAAACCTACTATATATATATATATGTGGACCTTCACAATGGGGTTTTGGGGTATGCCGTAACTATTGTAAGGACCCCCACAAAAATAGTGTGTGTGTATATATATATCTATATATATATTAATATACGGTAATTACTCAGGCCCGTATATGCAACCCCAAACCCTAAACATCATGCAGCAAGACAACCTTAACCTCCAAGCTTGCAGCCGGAGACTCCCCGAACCCCCAAACTCAAAAGACCAAATCCCAAAACCCTATTTGGGAGTTTCCGGAAATTAGGGGGTACCTTATTCTGGGGTCCTTCTAATAAGGATCCTACTATTTAGGATACTATTTTTGGGTACCCTATTCTCGGAAACTCCCATTTGCTAAACCCTAGACCCTGAACCTTAAATTCTAGTCCCCTAAGCCCGAACCCTAAACTCCAAAGGCCAAATCCCCAAACAACTTCCAATCCTGCACCCTTTAGCCGTAAACTCGAAAGACCGAAGCCAGAAGCACAACTCTAAGCCCATTCATGTAAATTTAAGGCTTAGGCGAAGCAAAGACAATGCCTCCATCATCGCTTTCGCAAACTCCCTGGAAATGCCGCGCGAGACCGTCTGGCAGTGGGGAGAGGCTCTCTGAGGCTTCCTTAATCCTCAACCCGACTCCAAACCCTCAACCGACTCTAAACCGCAAACTCCTAGTGGCAACCACACCTATACTTCAAGCCCGACGGCTCACACTTAAAGGTTCATGGGAATTAGTAACTAGGGTTTTAAATGGTATAAGGTAACTATACTTACCCCGTGTACTTTCTAAGTCCTGTGAACCTCCCAGCACCGTCAGCTGCAGGACCTACACCACAGAAGCCCCGCTTTGTACGGCTGAAGGTGGTAAGTTTTAGGACGGTTTGGGGGGGACCTTGCCAGGCAAACGCTCTTCTAGGTGGGGCTTTTAGAGGCCTTTGAAAAATATTAGTACATAAGATCCTCTTAAGCCCAATAAGGGAAAATCTAAAATGTCCCAAATCCCTACCTAGTCTTCGGTTTAGGGTTTAGGGTGCCGTTGGATTCAGATAGAAGGCAGGTCTTTCGCAATCCTTTAGACTGCCTTATACCGACGCTCCGAGTCATTCCTAACGACGTACCTTCAGAAATAGCCTAAGGACTGTCGTACAGTAGAGTAGGGTGCCATTTAGGGTCCTTTTAGACGGGTGCCGTGCATTTTTGCAGACCTAGAACCCAATTTAGAGACCTACCCAAATCCTCAACCATCTAAACACTAAGCCTTAAACCAAGCAGCATATGATTCCGCAAGAGGTCCTGGGTTGGGTAAATACAGGAAACCTGGAAGAGTTCAAGGTCAAGCACAGGTGCTCACTAAGCCTCAGGCCTCAGGGTTTAGGGTCTGGGGGTTAGGGTTTTAGGATAAGGCCTAGGGCCCAGTTTTCAATATTGATGCTCGCAGGGTTTAAGGTTCATAATTTCGGATTGACATTGCCGCTGCAGACGGATAACATACGGGCCTGAACAATGAGGATGAGTTTTGGGGCACAGAATCTTTTCTGATGTCAGAAGACTGCAGGTCTGCGGGGTGTCTATAACGGATACCGCAAGCTGCAAAACGCCAAACCAAACACAGACCCAACAGCCTCAAAGTGAAAGTTATAGTACATTCATCCTAAGCCCTACAACCCTAAAGCCTCAAGAGCGAAATACATAGAACATGCTTGTCTTTGTTCATCTCGAACCTCCTTTTTGAAGCCCCCTAAACCGTAAAGCTCTCAGCCTCAGGCAACAATCAGCAACACGACACACAGAGCTCGCCACCCCAAGCCCCCCCTAAACCCTAAACCCTTAACCCCAAAACCCTAAACCAGCCGCAGACCCTGACAAATTCACCTCGTTGGCCGGCCCAAAGGGGCCACCCCTTGTCTGGTTCTTAGTAGGGAATGGCGGAATGGATCCGTTATAGTAGTCCCTATATAAACCCCCATAGTAATTCCCATAACCCATTCCCCCGTTCCCTACAAAACCCCAATAAAAGTCCCCATAACCCATTCCCCCGTTCCCTACTAAGAACCAGACAGCCTTGGCCGATTCGCAGCTGAATCAGCGCCCACAACCACCCGCCGATTCAGTGATTCACTTGGACCCGACCAACCCCACGAATTCGCCTTGCTCTGCGCTTGTTTCTCCTTCCCCCTTACCCCTCCCCCTCCCCTGACCTACCAACCACCCACCCCCCCTCACCCCCTACCCTTGAACCCTATCCTCACCCTACCCTCCTTACCCCAGCCTTCCGCCCCTCCCCAACCCCTAGCTTCCAGCCCCGCCACCAGCCGCCCAGCCCCAGCCCAGCCAAATTCAAAGGTTCCACAATGAAAGCCTGATCAACACTCTCGGTCAAAACGTGTCGGTCAAAACTGTTGCTTATACACCCTTAACACTTTTATAAACCCTAAAACCCTATAGCCCGTATCGATCCTTAATCTTACAGAAGTCTTTGACCTCCAAGTCAAGCAAGTAAGTTGGAAGGCTCGTCTACATGACAGCGTGCAAAAAGTGCTGATCATGGATCATGTGTTAACCTCCTTCCGTGATTAAGATGCTGCATAGTCGGTTTGCAGTTTCGGAATTAGAGGTCTCGGGTTTTTCCGATTTCGGAAGACCTGCATCTGAAGAAGCCATGAACCCTGAAGCATCCCGTCATCGACTCAGCAGAAGAGACGCGGACCCTAATCTTAAATCAAAGGGGCAAAGGAGGGACCCTTAATGGGGACCCTTACCCTATAATGGGCTATATAATGGGTATATAATAGCCATATTAGGGGTACATACCTAGGGGTCCTTATTAAGGGTCCCTCCTTTCACCCTTAGATTACAGCCACCTAAAACAACCCCGAAACACTAAGCTCACAAACCCGAAGCTGACCTTGGAAGCGAGGGGATTTGCGCCCCGTCCCATCCGCCCAACGATCTGTCTTGCTCGCATCTCCAGCTCCTTACGTTGGAGGTCCATGTGGGTCGGCTAGCTCTCTAAGTTTGGGTCCCTTTTAGGGTCCTTGCCGCGCTACTTCTGGGACGGAAAACGGGAGCCTAATTTAGAGAACTGCCGATGTGTAGACTTTAACTTCGATTTTATGGCTTCGTACGGGCTGTAGGTCGGACTGCAGGGCTTAGGGTCTACTAGGAGGTTCATGGGCCTTAGTGAGTACAGACATAAGCACCTCAACCGGGGTTGTAGATGGTTATGAGTATATTTAACATATTCATAGCCCGGGACCCTAGCTACCAAGTCTGAACCTTTAGGTAGGGCTCGCAAGTGACAGGGGTTACGAGAAAAAGATGCTATGAAGACTTTGGTCTGGTTTACTTTACTCACTTTAACTGAGGCCCTTTAATCTAGGTTTAAGCTACCACGATAGTGATCTTCAGTAAATAACATGGTTTCCTTGTCATGGTAACTTAAATAACTTCCTTAACAAGAACCCAGATGAATGACAAACTCTCGATAATTTTTTGGCTTAATTACTGGTCTTGCTGTCCATCCTGTCGAGTTGCCAAGGCGGAATAACTCTGAGCCGCAAAAGTCACCGGGATGTCCTTGAAAAGAGCCTCTGCAAGGGCAGGAGGTCTTCTTCTTCTACTATGTCTCCTACTTACTACTACGACGACGACGACTACTGCTACTACTAAACCTCCCCATGGGGGGATTGTTGTGCCTTCGGAAAGACCATTAGCTTCGAATCTACCGCGCCTGCCACATGAAACAAGCTTCTTGTTGTATTTGTTGCCGCTATGCTTATGGGGTTTAGGCAACGCTAGTCGGTGTTTCGGCCTGTTGTGGCTTCGATGCTGTCTCTTACGCGGGAAGCAATAGCGTAAAGTGGCATTGGCGAACATACCGGAATTTGATGCCTGTCACACGAAACAGAAATAAGCAAAGGATTGATAATCTACTGAAGCAACCCTTGTGTGACATGACATGATATGACATGATATAACATGAGATGATAAGGTATGATATGAGATGATATGACATGATATGAGAGAGACGGCAAACCCAAAATGAGAAGAACATTGCACTCAGAAGGAGCGAATGTGCAGTAAATACAGAGCGGTGTGCTTGTCCAGAGGCAAAGGGATGTTCTTAACCCCTCCCCCCCACCCCCCCTGGCAGAAGCAAACAGTCGCTGCAGTTATCCCCCATGTGTCTTAACTACTACCAACACTACGACGACGACTGCTACTACTAATGCTGCGGCTGCTACTCCCCAAACCCTAAACCGTAAACCCTAAGCCCTCCTACGACAAACCACCCAAGAAGTTGCAATCATCAAGCCTGAGGCTAGAACCCGCCCAAATCCTCAAAGCTTCTTAACCCTTGAGCAAATATCAAAGGCTTTAGGGGTTCAGGGGTTTAGGGCCTAGAGGTTCAGGGTTTAGGGTTTAGGAGTTTAGGGTTTTTCGGTTTTAGCATCCAGATGTCAGAGTCTTAGACGAAACGGTTTTTCTTTCCTACCTAGCAGGGACATGCCCGCCTTGCAAGGCAAGCCGAAACGGTTTAGGGATTAAGGGGGGTTTAGAGTTTGACCGAGAAATTCAAACCCCTGTGCCTTCAATACACGGGTGTAGGTGGCAACATCGATGCTCCTGCACACGGCTTCTTCTTCAGGAACTCCCTCACTCTAAACCCTAAACCCCAAACCTGTTTGCTACTCAACAGGGTGCAGCCTGAATCCCTTGAGATCTTGACCTCACTGCGCTGGGGGGAACAGTTTGTAGGGCTTGCGCCAGAAATGGGAGTTTCCGAAAATCGGGGACCCTAATATAGCACCCTAGATAGTAGCATCCTTATTAAGGACCCCAGAATAGGGTAATTACCCTTTGTTTTCGGAAACTCCCATACGGTAGTTCAAGCCTTCATGGCTGAGTCTTAAGAGTTTAGCTCGAAGAGTGCTTTAAGGATCTGCCGTAAGGGTTTCTTTTAAGAGTCGCCCATGCGGTTTTGCGGCTTTAGCTCTTGTTTCCGTGCATTCGTTAGCAGCTGCATCTCCGGTGTGCGATAACATAGTTCGAACTTCACACAATCCACACATGCAGTCACAAGCACATGAACATAACAGTACATGCAGAAGGCATTGTTGGATTTAGGGTCGGGTGCACATGCAAATATGACTACTTACATAAAAAAAGCACATGTTAAGCAAACACACATATGTTTAGAACAGTGTGTAAACACGAATATACGTATATGTATATGTTATATGTTTACGCATATGTATATAATGATCCATCCATCCATCCATCCGTACGTTCATACACACTACATTCGCTTTTGTGCCTGTCGTCGCAATCAGAACATGTCTTGACTCACAACTTAGTTACAGCCTCGACCAGGACCCCTGGCTGCCTCTACACGTGTTCTCATACATTCTGAAATCTTCTCTTGCACCCCCGAAGGAAAAATCGTTTCCGCACTTCCGGTTCCAACGCCACCCAACTAACATAAGTACAATAGGAAATCTGGGCTCTGCAAGCTTCAGTGGTGGGAAATTAGACCAATTAAGTGTTGGAAAGTTGGCTGCCGCCCCGAAAAAGGACGATGTTAGGGTAGGCAGTAACAAGTACGATGCTGAAACCTTCGAACATGCAGCAAATTTCTCACATGCCTTCATCTACGATATCATGTGGACATTACTGTATTATCGCTAAACCCACGAACGCATGACATGCTGTTCTGTCAAAATGACATATGTGGGTACATGTACATAGTTGCAGTAGCTTGACCCTAAAACCCGCTAAGCTTAAACCCTGAAAGCCCAAAGCCCCTGAAGCCCATAACACAAAAGACGTAACTACTCCAACCCTGAACCTACTCGTGACCCCAAGCCTTACAGAAAGTGGGTTTTCTCCCCTTGATTAAGGGTCGAAGCCCTACACCCTAAACCCCCCAAAAAACAAAACCCTAAAGGTCACATAAATTAAAGGAACCCTTGGGGGGTTAAGGTTTAGGGTTTCTTAGTTGCTGAATTCATAAGCCCCCAAAAGTGCACACTTTCAGTTATGTAGTGAGTAATATTATCCCAAAAAATGTAAAGTGTATCCACTCAGCTACGAAGTAACCTTAAACCCCAAACCCTAAGCCCTAAACGCCGAACCCTAAACCCTAAACCCTGGACCCTAAACCTTAAACCCTAAACCTTAAACCCTAAACCTTAAACCCTAAACCCTGAACCCTAAACCTTAAACTCTAAACCTTAAACATCCTTGAACCTTAAACCCTAAGCCCTAAACCTTAAACCCTAAACATCCTTAAACCCTAAACCTTAAACCTTAAACCCTAAATTCTTTTCGAGAGGGTTTCGGATTCAAGGCTGGGTCCTCCAGGAGCTGTCCGTCTTGACAAAATCCCAGAAGGCGGGCCCAGGCGGAACGAAATCCTCGAAACTTTAGGGTTTTGGCTTAAGAGCTTCATATAAGTTACCGAAATCCTTGAAGGTTTAGGGCTTAGGGTTAAGAAGCACTTAATATAAGTTACCGAAATCCTTGAAGGTTTAGGGTTTAGGGCTAAGAACGTAATTTAAGTTACCGAAACCATTGACGGTTTGAGGTTCAGGATCAAGAACTTAGTTTAAGTTACCAGAATAGGGATCTATAGTACATAGTAGGTCTTCCTTGCTATGGTAACCCTAAACCCTACACCGGGGGACTTATAAGGGTTCCTTCAAAGGGATCTATAGTAAATAATATGATTTCAACTTCATTATGGTGAATTAAATTAAAACCCTTCACCAGAAACCGGGTTGATTTAGGCCCCGGGCCAGGATAGCAGCTTGAGGTTCGGGGGTTCAAGACCACACATGTGGAAGTTTCCGAAAATAGGGGTCCCTACTATAGCACCCTAAATAGTAAGATCCTTCTTATAAGGACCCCAAATTAAGGTACCCTTATATTCGGAAACTCCCATGTAATGAAGCTTGTCACCCACTGCTTTGCTCAACCCACCGAATCGGACAATGCTTTCATGACGCGAAGATAAAGCTCGGCCCAGAGAGTTTAGGGTTTAGGGATTAGGGTTTAGGGTGATCCTGATTTCGTCGACGTGCAGCCAATGCTCTTGAAAGCTCCGGGAGCGATCAAAGCGGTCACAAGCCTGCCGACTTTCTTTCCCCATTTTGTGCCGGAGTCGTGCCCCATGTCATGGTATTCTTTCCGTTCTTCAGGGGGAAGACTGTGAGCTTCGAGAAAGTATGCGCTTGCCCACCGCTCGTCCATAATTACAGCCGTGTTCAGTAGGTCTTCGACCTCATTTATCAGCTGTAAGCGATCCAAAGCCATTCGCAAGAGGAAGGGACTGAAAGCCACGGGTCTGTGAGAAAAGTGAAGTTGCCGAGAAACAACGGGTGCTCACTCCACCGATCACTGCTATCGCACTTAGTGCCGTGCATGATGAATGTAACAACAGACGGAATTAAATCCGAAGCCCGGCATGAACCCTTTCTTGGTGTTTAGGGTTAGGGCTTGGAATTTGTGGCTTGGGGTTTAGGGTTTAGGGTCTAGGGGTTTAGGGTTTAAAGTTTGGGGGTTTAGGGGCTTGTTGTGTGTGGGGTTTAGGGTGTAGGATTTGGGGGTATGCGGTTGTAGAACCTGTAGGAAGTTGGAGGGGATGCCAGGTAGGGAAGAGGCCGGACATGTTGGGCATGTACTGTGGCCGGAGACTGTCGGGAAGACGCTGTATTCAATCATCAAGTCCCTAAGGCTCCATGGACCCATGTAGTATATACTTAGGCCTTAAAGTACCTATATAGGGACCCCTTTAAGGTCTAAGTACTTACTATAAACGTACACGGAGCTTTTGGGAGCGTCGCAAGACCATCAACCAGGCCCAGAGAGCTTCATACCCTGCAGGGTTTTGGCCCTCACTTAAGGAAGACATGTTGAACAAAAACAGGTCCAGGACTAATTAAGGGTATATTAATACCTATGATTAATGGGTGAATCAATAAGTAAATGTGTGGCAAATGAAACCCTGCACCCTATACCCATAATCCTAGTCCTAAACCAGAAATTGAGAAGTATTGGGCTCTCTGGCTCGGCCGGCAGCAGGCTCTGGAGAAAATGCTTTATTACATGTCGGGTTGGGGGTGAGAGAAGTCTCTAGAAGCTAGGTTTACGCCGTGTAGATAATTTGAGAGTCCTTGATCCTAAACCCCCAAACCCCAAAACCTTGGTAGCATGAGCAGTCCAAGCAAAAACCCGTCCACCAAAGACTGCACCTTCATGTCCCGAAGAACCCTTATAGATCCCTTAAAGGATCCCTCATGGTACCCTTATAGGACCCTTAAACTATATGAGTACATGGACCCTTAGCAACAATGCAAGGCTGTTTTTCTTTGCAGCTTTGAGGGGCTGGGTTGCTTTTCAGTCTTTCGGTTTTCCCTTCAGGACCTGACCTCTTAAGAGGGTTCAGGTTTAGGGCAGTTTAGGGATTAAGGGTTTAGAGTCTAGAGATTTAACGTTACATATCCTCCTGGACCCCTTTACCGTGGGGCCCTGTGATGCTATGGCGAGATGAATGGTTTGGTGCTGTGTCGTATGCAGGCTGTCGGCACCAATACCGTCGTCACATCCCCACGCACATGACGTCCAAAATGACATGAATTACCCGCCCCCTGCCCCGCTGGGCTACAGGACCCTGTGTGATCTTGCCGTGGCTCGTCTGCAACGACGGGAAGTGCCACGCACAAGGGCACAGCATTTACCTGCATACAGCAACGAATGCTGCTGACAACACGGTGGCAGCTTTAACGGTGACGAGACTGCTTGAATTCCAATGAAGGCTGCTGAAATTGTCCATACTGACACAGATGATTGCCGTGATATGCATGATGAACAATAATATTCCATAGTGCTCCTTACTACCTTACTGTCAATATGCTGACATGCACCCCGCATGTTATTCTAACAATTTATTGTTAAGGCCCCTCGTGTACCGTAGTCAGTGGAGCACCCATTTGAAGCCTTCTTTCCAACATTCTTTCTTGGAAATGTTTAATTCCACAATGTATAACTGTATAACTATAAGGTATCCTATCCTCGAATAAGTGCTCCTTCAAGGATTTGCAACCTATAAGGGCTCCTGTAAGCCTTTCTTTAAGGTTTCCTACGTTCTTATAAGTCTGCTACATGGGATGAGGGCTCTAGGGTTCCTGGCTTTAGGCTTCAAGGCTTAGAGTACTGGAGTTTCCTTGAGTCTTGCTGCCTTACTTCGTTCGACTTCCTTCAGCCTTTTGTTTGAGCACGATGCTTCGTCAGACGTGCCTGCCGGCTGCGGACCGTGACTCCAAAAGAAACTACGTAGGGTTTAAGGGATTGGATTAGGGTTTATATCCTGGGGCTTCAGGGATTCGCGATAGGAGTTACTATACGGATTACCAACGAAGGGATAGCATAAGGGTTCCTATCGAGGTTTCGCGGATTTACGCGAGAATTTAACTGTACGGCAACCAGAGTAGGTCCTTACCACGACAGGGTTTAGGGGCACACTGGCAAGCCTTCCAACCACACTGATGGCAACCCTTCCATCTCCGAAGCAAGCTGAAGAAAAGCATTTCGACGAGCATCAAATGCCTTAAGCCCTAAACCGTAAACTATCAGGATAGGATAACTTACCGCAACCCTTGCTAAACCCTAAGCTCTAAACCCCAAGACCCTAAGCGTTATAGAAATCCTTAACAAATTCTTAACCCTAAACTCTAAACCCCTAAACCCTGAGCCTTAAAGAAATCTGAAAAAAAACTTTCTCAGAAGCCCGGAGCCTCAAGGAGCCATTGCGCGAAGAGGATCGAGCTGAAGCAGTCGAAGGAGCATAGGAGGAGTGCACCTTTGAGTGTGGTTTAGGGTTTAGGGTTGCACCTTTGAGTGCTTAGTTTGCGCTCTCGCAACTCGGACTCGCCAGACGAGGCCTATAGAAACCCTAAACCCTAAACCAGAACCCTTGAAGGAACCCTTTATGGAGCCCTACACACACAAAACCGACCTTAAAATCAACCCTTAGGGTTCTTTCTCGTGGGCTCCTGGGGATTTGCCCAGGGCTTGGGGAAGTTCTCTTTGTTAGTGTGGGCTAGCCGGGCTAGCGTTTAGGGTTTTGGGGTTTCAGGGTTTGAGGATTTTAGGGTTTAGGGTTTTGGGGTTTTAGGAGTTTTCTGGTTCCCCGAACCCTAACGAGGAATAGTTGGGGTGGTTGGGGCGGGAGTACATGCTGACGCACGCACACGATAAGTGGGCGAGCCCCTATTCCTAAAGAGGCGCACCCACCACGCAGGCCCTGAGCCCTCAACCCTAAGCCGTAAACCCTTAAACCCCCAAGTCGTAAATTCTCTTCCAGCTAGGATGCTCCGAACATGGGCATCTCGGAGGCAGAGATAAGTCTGTATGGACTTATTAAAGACCCTAAACCCTGGCTCATTCCTGCCAGGGTTTAGCGTTTAGGGCTCAGGGTTTATCAGCCAGGATGTCCGCTCAAAGCCTCTATGCCTATAGCCCACAGCCCTAGTGTCATGGTAAGGTCCCTTTATCGCTCCGGAAACCTCCAAGCACCGGATTTTGCAAGGAATGCCGCAAGAGGGCGCATGTCCTGCACTCATCCAGACGTCAACGTTGCAGGCACACAAAACAGCTGACGTCAACCCAGGAACAGCAATATACGATTCACAGTACGCTTTAGTATAACACAGCTTTCATGGATGACCATGAAGCTGACAGTAATAACACACAAATGACGATAGCAGGCGAAGTCACAGTATAACTTGCACCTACTATGTTTATGTGTCCTACAGCCGTGATGCCTTGCCCACAACTACAATCGAAACATCTTTCAAAAGCTAACCACATTCACAATTTTGTCATTGTTGTCTATAGCCATCGTTGTTCAATCCTAACAACTTTGGGTTTCGGATAAAAATTCAGGGAACACCACCCTAAGCCCTAAGTACGTGAAATAAATCAATACCCACCACAGGTTGCGAGTAACCCTAAGAATAGACCACTGCTATCGAAGGGAGCCCTACACTCGCAGTCAATCTTTTTTCGTTCGAGAAAAACAGCCTTCGGGTTAGACGCACTGCCTGTACTCAGAGACTCTGCTTCACGCACTCCCCCTCGCTCCACCATCCACTGATGGAGCGAAAAGGTCTCCACTGGAAAAGGAAGGGGCCTTTAAACACGTCCCCGGAAACAGAGCCTCACCTGTTCCTACGTTTCCCGAAACGGCATCGGGACAAAAGCTGATCTTCCATCTCAATTCCGATCCCAGCCTCCAGCCAGATTCCTCCTTCAGAGGAAATTATCGTACCGAGATTCAGCATCCCAGAGGTGGGCTTCGCCACCGTACTATCTAGAGACACGAGTAATCCACAGCATCCCCATTAGGTTCAACCCTTTTAAAGGTAAAGAGCCTTGTAAAAGCCCGAACTATCAGCTTCGGTGGGGATGTCGGACTTCCCGCGCTCATTGCAAGACTTATTCACCTCGAACTAATCGACAGCGATGCTCCGAGGTTGTCGAGCATGCCAAGAAACTCAGTCGGATCCAGAACCCTCACTAGCTCTCTCTAGCCTTGTAAGGTGATCGCCTCAAAGCCAACAGAATCCATCCTGGGTTTCCTGATCATACAATTCAATATCGACTGCGTAGCCAGCCTTCCAGAGAGAAAACAGAATGCGGTCCCGGTGTTCAACTCCTAAAGGGAGCGGCCAAGGCACTCCAGGCTCACTGGAAGTCTGGCTTGCGCTATCTTTTGTGACAGCACGACAAAGCCTACAGAGGCTACAGAAGCACCTCCAAAGCTCCCAGGTTCCAATCCAAAACAATCCCGTGGCAAAGAACCACATCCAAGATCCCTCACACAACGTCTCCAACGGAACCCTCACATCCCAGGCGTCACCATAGATTTGGGCCTCATGTAAAGGGCAAGTACGGTCGTTGGGGGTCTCAAGGCTCACTAACTCCCCCTGAAACCCAATCGGCGACGAGCTTACACTCTGAACCAAAGCCCACCAAACCACAAACCGAAACAACCACAACCACCCTGCTGGAGTTCCTGCTACCGTTGAGGGAGCAACAGGCTCACTGGGACTACTGGCTCCCTGTGACCCTAGAGCTTCTGAAAAACCCTGCCAAATGCCAGTGTTCAAACCCTCAACGACAGACTCTATCTGCTCCTCAGTCCATCCCTCAAGAGGGACTTCCAAAACATCATCCCCGTAGACTACGCGCAGCTTCTCAGGCCCTACGAAGTACCTAGTGCCAAAAACTGATCTACCAGAAGGCACAGGCACCTGATCTGTTGCCTCACTCCCTACCGAGCCCTCGTCAAGAGCCGACATGGAAGGGTCCGTCGTGGACACCGCGTCACTGCTAGATGAATCATCTTCAGGGAACAGTAATCCTAAAGCAGGCGCTAGCTGAAGAGGCGGGGGAAAAGGCCTATCACGATGAGGATGGTCATCTAACCCAGGATCATCATCTACATCAACCTCTTCAGCAAACGGCTCAATCGCATGCGGATTCTGTAGATACGCATCCCCGGCATCAACTGCATCAGCCTCCGGGTCTTGTCCGACCGGATCACCATGAACCATCCAATGACTAACCGCCTCGAACCACCCGTGGCCTTCGTAAGCCAGGGCCCTCGGACCTCGCCTTAACACCTCAGCTACGGCACCAACTACCGCAACTCTTACACCTCCCGAGGTACGAAGCAGCCTAAACCACTCCGCACAATGAAGTCCTAGGAACCACAGAATCGTATCCCCTGCCGTCGAGCACAACTGCATCACATAATGCACCTGAATCCAAGACCCAACAAGGGGCCACGAGTCCATGTACCCTTCGGTAGGGAACAAATCTTCATAATAATGCCCTGTCTCTTCAAAAGCTGGCACACCCATCCCATGGCTGGAAGAACTATGTGCTGCCGGAACATCAAGATCTGGAGCTTCTATGGCGCCGTCACTACACCCAAGTTGGTGCGCAAAAGGACTCCCCCTGAACTGGACCTCTGAATCCAACGGGCCTGGAATCCCAGAACTACTACCCCTAGGACTCCCCCTGAACTGGACCTCTGAATCCAAGGGACCAAAGTCACCCCTATCCCTGGACGACTCTTCAACCCTCGGTCTCATGAGCCTCGGGACCCACTGGATACCCTGCTCACCCGGTACAGCCCTCAGCTCTACTTCCCAATCTTGACCCTCAAAGGCACTTTGGTTCATCCCTGTATCAAACAACTGAACCAATAGACCCAGCATTGGATGTCGAAGTAGTGCTACTGCAGCCCAGCTAAGTCGTATCCACGCCCTTTCGCGAATACCCAGCAACTCCGCCAGCAAATCTCCATGCCGAGTGCACAGATTCACTAGGCCCCACAAGCCTACACGCGGCCTTTCTAGTCTACGAACCCCTAGGGGACTTTCGTCTGGCAAAACCGCAGGACTCCCGGCTACTGGGGGTTCGGGAGGTCCTTCCGGCAACAAGTCAACAGCGACGTTCGCTACTAGGGGCTCTAGAGGTCCATCAGAAGATGAAGCAGCAGCAACTGGAGCTGCCGGAGGCTCTAAAGGATCTTCTGAGGCTGCAGATGGATCGTTGGCTTCAACACCAGTGAACCACGATGGCTCGGGACCGAATCTTTGCAAGAAACTCGGGACATCGACCACACCTCCTGCCGCAACCTGTTTACGAACCCTCGCCCGCTGCACAAGCGTTAAACCAGAACGCCTCTCTGACTCTTCGAGCTTCATCTGGGCCACACGCCACTCTTCATCGGTAAAGTCATCAGATTCCGCAGCGTCTACAATGGGCTCCCCGTCACCCTGAATCCCAGAAGTCTCAACCCCTCGAACCCTTTCCAAAAGACCCTGAAGCAACCTCCAACGGCCCTCGCCTACCCAAAGCCAACCCGAGCCCAGTACACAAACCCCGGTCACAACCCATGCCACGGTCCAAAGTAGCCAATTGTAACCTTCCTGAAGTCCTTGCTGGTCCGGCTGACCCTTCGCCCGCGGGATCAGTGCAAGCAGAGTGAGTCCTGCCAGCACTTTGGCAGATGCGATGGTAGTAGTGCCCAACTCATCATACACACCGCGACTTAGCACTCGAGCGGAGGAAGCAGCCTCCGAATCACTAGTCTTTGCACCCCCAATCCCGATGAGACTAAGCAATTGTAAGATACGGGACCTCCCTAGGGGTTTGGTTCCTATGTCCGCCACCTGCAGGGTTCCTGGGATATGGGACACACGTAGGATACCTGCCTCCACTCGCTCTCTGCCAGAGATCGCTCTCATTCTTAAGTGGCGGCTACGCCAGCCCGTGCTCACGGTGTCGAAGGACCGTAAAGCGGCTTGATTGTCGCAGAGAAGTGAAACGAGACTGTCCTCCTCTAACAGTTCGTCCAACAACGATTGGATGCATTCAGATAACTGGGTCCCGTGTATCATGCACACCAACTCTGCCTCTGCACTAGACAGAGTTGTGAAAGCTTGCCTCGTCGTTTCCCAAGCAATGGGTACCCCTTGCCACACAATCACTAAGGACTGCATCGATCTATCCCCACCAGGGCTATGCGAGGCGTCGGTGTACACTTCCAACACTTTAGGAGACCTAGGTATCGACAACAAACCGTGGTCGGCAAACGGGCTTCCTACTTCAAACGGAACTTCCATTGCAAACTCCGCCGTAGACCTCAGGTACTTAAGCGTCTGCATACCGACACTAATCGACAGCTGCGGAACCTTCGTGGCCATTTGGCCGCAACGTGACACAGCATACGATATATCCGGGCGCGTACGCGTCGAAACCCACAACAGAGCGCCTGTTATGGCA